AGAGTTTAGATACGTTAAATCAGAACGAGCATATTAGTATTAAAAGGGGAACTACTGTCAAACAATCCTTGTTATTAATTACTCCCAGCAGGACAGTGCCACAAGTAATAAATGACTGAAACTGCACTTTCTGAATTCTGGACGGTTTTCTAGAGTCCGGTCGATGTAAAATTCAGAGTCCAAAAAAATGGAGAGTAAAAATAAAGATACTCTTTATCCGCCAAGACAAGTGATGGAAGAGGGATGTCTTCACCCTTTGTAGTCCATTGCACAGTCGATTCGATAATGCGATCAGATCTTTTTTACCTCCGACCTTCAGCCCAACATCAACGGTTTTCTGAGGATCTTAGGGATTCATATTGTTTGACGCTGTTCTCGAGCCTCTGGCTTAAGTACAAAACGAGATGCACTTGTTCATAGACATTCAAGTGTGGACTATCCGAATCTGGTCTCAAAAGTTTGGAGTCTTGTAAGGATCTCTGGAAAACTTTTGGAGCTTTTCTAGAAATCCTTCATCAAAAAACTTTTTAAATTACAAAATTGGAAAGAGTACAAAATTTTGAACAAAACAATGTATCACTCATACGTTTTCAGTTTTTCTAAGATATAAATTCAACAACCTAAAAAATATGTTTTTATATTAAACTACTTTTGCTTGAAAATCTATTATTTGGTCACCTTTTTAAAATTATTGCTAAAATTATGAGCAATACCTGATTTTGTTCAGAATTTTGTGCTCTTTCCAATTATATAATTAAAAAAAATTTTGATGAACGGTTTCTAAAAAAAGCCCGAAGGTTTTCCAGATATCCTCACAAGACTCCAAACTTTTTTTTCACAGACGTTGAACAAGATAGGACCAGTTAGAAGCAAATCTGAGACATTGATTGAGTGTGACTTGTTGTTTCTCTCATGCAATGACTCTTAGGAAAGAATTTTGGCGCATATATTAGAAATATCATAATCTAATAAGAAAACGTTTATGCTGTCTGAAATCTGAAGAAAAATGTACTTTTAGATCATATTATATGATTCTCCATGAGAACTTTCTCTCAATAAATAAATTAGTGTTGAAAAAAGAGATATTCCATGAAAAATAGACTCTAATATGTGGTTTAGAAGATTCATTTAACTTGACGAATATATGTGTAATATGTACAGACTTATCAGTCATTGATACTTTTTTTTGCCGTGCACTATCGCATAGATACCGTCATTGCGTGATGTCACGAAAATTTCAAAGTTTCGTTTCAACCAGTTCTTGTCACTGATGAATTCTTCCAAATCATCATCGTTCAAAACGGCACAATTGTTTTGGACTGAATACTCAATAGGATTTATATTTGTGATTTTAAACGTTTTTAATGCCGGTATTATCTTTAGCAATTGTTCAATTGCCTTGAAACTATGATTAACATTGTTCAATTTCAAATGTTCCAAATATTCTAAATGGACAATGGCCATTGATATAGCTGTTTTACCAATTGTCAGTCGTCGAACGTGCACATAACGAATCTGTGTCTTCTGTAATAATTGAACTAAATCATTTAGAGAACAATCATCACTTATTGTTAAATGTTGCAGTAACGAAGAATATTCGGATGTGCACAGCGAGAGTAAACTACAGAAAAAAAAAGTCTTAAAACGATTTCAGAAATTTGAAGTGAACATACCGTCGTCCACTAGTGTTGTTCAACACCATGTTCAACGAAACAATTTGTAGAATTAAATAACAATAATCAAAATCAAAATCAAAATTTTCATTCATTACTAATGTGTCGAAGTGCAGTCGGAGACGTTGATCATAAAGAATATCGTTGAAACGTTGATTGTGCCCACAAAATGCTTTATAGAGACGAACAACGTCGAGATACTCAAAAATATCCATGATTAAGTCATCAGAAAGCATTTCAAACATAGTTACAAAACCGTCAAACATTGTGTTTAATACCACCTACTACATAAAGTCGAATCTATAAAACAAAGAGAGTTGGGATTAAAAAGGAAATTTTTCGATGAGATCAAAGAGACCAACGTTGAAAGTGGTGGTCTCGCTTCATTGTCACTTATCTTGAACAAATATAAATCCTATTGAGTATTCAGTCCAAAACAATTGTGCCGTTTTGAACGATGATGATTTGGAAGAATTCATCAGTGACAAGAACTGGTTGAAACGAAACTTT